TGTTTTACTCCGGCTTTTTGCGGGGGAATTTCATTAACTTGCGGGGGTATAAATTAACGCAGATGACGTCATGCATCTCATTAAGATAGGATAATGTCATAGTTTAAATTAATGTCGATGACGTCATGCATGCCATTAAGATAGGATGATGTCAAAGGATTTCTAGTTACTTTAAGGTCGATAAACGTCTTCGTTTTCGATTGGTTAGTTAGAAAATAAGAAACGTTTTTATTGGTTAATTCATACTGTCTGAGGAGTAAAGTCAAACTTGTCTGTGACTTAAAATCACGGAGGCGTAATGTAATTATGCAAGTCCTATTTCCTGCTGCTGTGATTGTCCTAGTTCCGGTTCACTGACTTTTGGCGGGCAAATCGTGCATATTAATGAGGGCAAAGACAAACTAGCTCTTTTTAGCACGAAATACAATGTTTTACTTACCCCTCTCTCTTTCTATTTTATTGCCCTCCTCAATGTTTTTTTTTATTCCTCTCCTCCACCTCTTCTATTGTTTTCCCTCGAAAAGACCAAAAGTCCAAAATCAGACCATCACATTTGAGTTTGGCCTTATAGGCCTGATTTTGGACTTTTGGTCTTTTCGGGGGAAAACAATAGAAATGAGGAGGAGGTGCTGGTGGTGGTGGAGGAGGAGGTAGAGGAGGAGGAGAAACAATGAAAATGAGGAGGAGGAGGAAGAGGAGGAGGAGAAACAATGAAAATGAGGAGGAGGAGGAGGAGGAGGACAACCAATGAAAATGAGGAGGAGGAGGGAAAACAATAGAAAGGAGGAGGAGGAGGAGGAGGAGGAGGAGGAGGAGGGAAAAGAAATAGAAATGAGGAGGAGAAGGAGGAGGAGGGAAAAACAATAGAAATGAGGGAGGAGGAGGAGGAGGAGGAGGAGGGAAAAGCAATAGAAATGAGGAGGAGAAGGAGGAGGAGGGAAAAACAATAGAAATGAGGGAGGAGGAGGAAAAACAATAGAAATGAGGAGGAGGAGCAGGAGGTGGAGGAGAGGAATAAAAAAAACATTGAGGAGGGAAAATAATAAAAATTGTGGAGGAGAGGAATAAAAAACATTGAGGAGGGCAATAAAATAGAAAAGGGAGAGGGGTAAGTAAAACATTGTATTTTTTGCTAAAAAGAGCTAGTTTGTCTTTGCCCTCATTAATATGCACGATTTGCCCGCCAAAAGTCAGTGAACCGGAACTAGGACAATCACAGCAGCAGGAAATAGGACTTGCATAATTACATTACGCCTCCGTGATTTTAAGTCACAGACAAGTTTGACTTTACTCCTCAGACACTATGAATAAGCCAATAAAAACGTTTCTTATTTTCTAACTAACCAATCGAAAACGAAGACGTTTATCGACCTTAAAGTAACTAGAAATCCTTTGACATCATCCTATCTTAATGGCATGCATGACGTCATCGGCATTAATTTAAACGGATCATTCACCGTTTCTGGGCAACGTATCGTAAAGTACTCGATAAAAATCGTCTCGATTTAATGGCCTCTCGATTACGTATTCGCCAGTCCAACCGAAAACGTCAAATCGAGACTCGTTGCCACCTGTCACCTGTCGAGACACGTTAAAACGGGGCCTAAAACGTTTCTCGAAAACGTAGGGCAAAAAACGAGACTCGATTTTTCTCGAAAACGTAGGGCCAAAAACGAGACTCGATTTTTCGTTTTCTTAAAGATTTGTTCAAAAACTAACTCTGAGGGATTACACCATTAGAAAGGTATTTGCCGGGAGAGGGTAAATTCCAAAAAAATTAATTTATGTGCCAAAAATATCCTCTGAAAAAAAATAACCATGCACTGGCTTCAAAATATCAGAAAAGGGAAATAATGTAATGCCTTTTTTACTTGTAAGGGCAATGGCAATGAAAGAATTGAGTGTAGATAAGATTTCTAGGGTCTTCTGGGGTAATTCCCATAACTTTTACATGGTTCGCGCAATTCCACTGGGAAATCGTCAGATTAACCATTGTGAGGTGATTCAAATTTTCAGAGAACTCTTTTAAATTTCAGCAGGTCGTTCTTTACTATGTGAAAGTTAATAGTCATATTTATATTTTCAAGATGTTTGAAAAGTTGTTTGTTTTTTGTAAAAGGTAGGCACCCCTAGATAGAAAAGGTTAAAGATGGAAAATAAGATTGAAAAGACACCAGCAAATAATTACGACAACAACATTTTTGATAAGAAAGAGAAAAATTCTATTTGCATTTCAACTGAGGATAACATTAAAGGTTCTCACACAAATCAACTTAGCCAGCGGCCATACAAAAGAGGGGAAAAATAAGGAACAATTGATAATACTAACAAAAAAATTCATTTGTTGAAGCTTTTATCTTAACTATTGTATAGCCGCTCAATTCTAAGACTTTTACTTAGTTTCAAGGGTTCTGTTCATTCTAAATGATTAAGTTAATTGGTTACAAACATAGCTACAGAGTACCGTAAAATTCCGAAAATAAGCCCCGGGGCTTATTTTTTTCAAAGGCCCTTTTTCAGGGGCTTATTTTTGTAGGGGGCTTATCTACGGAGGGAAATTTGCGTTTCAAGATCGATTGGGCTAGCCTTATAGTTGAAGGTAAATTTACCGTTTTTGCTTTGTTTTGCTTTGTATTTGAGGGTAATTTTCCAAATACAAACCCCCGGGGGCTTATATATGGAGGGACGATTTAACGGAGGGGTTTTTGCGTCACCGGTTTTGGGGGGCTGATATTTGGAGGGGCTTATTTTCGGAATTTTACGGTATCCATATGCTACCTCCTACTTTTTTGGACTTAACCTTCTCCAGGCAAAATACCTTTTCTAGTTTTTGAACGATTCCCTACGAAAACGAAAAATCGAGTCTCGTTTTGGGCCCTACGTTTTAGAGAAAAATCGAGTCTCGTTTTGGGCGCCACGTTTTAGTTTAACGTGTCTCGTTTCTGAAACGAGTCATCGAGACAGGTGGCAACGAGTCTCGATTTCACGTTTTCGATTCGACTGCCGGAAACGTAATCGAGAGGCCATTAAATCGAGACGATTTTTATCGAGTACTTTACAATACGTTGCCCAGAAACGGTGAATGATCCATTTAAACTATGACATTATCCTATCTTAATGAGATGCATGACGTCATCTGCGTTAATTTATACCCCCGCAAGTTAATGAAATTCCCCCGCAAAAAACCGGAGTAAAACATCCCTCCTCTACCACTTACTATTCTCTCTATGTCCACCTTGCCTCTTTCTGTTTTGCATTTTATTCACAGTGATTCCGCCTTCATTCATGGTCAGCTTGCTTCCTCCTTTAGGACTTTTACAACTGGGGCTTAAAAGGAAAAAATAACTGGCTACGTTTCTGAATGTAATCACTTTATGCCAATGACCCTTCCGCGGTTTTTTCAACTTTCGACACGGAGCTGTTAGGGAAAATACGTCGGCACCAATAAAAAGAACGCCTTAACACAGTGTAAAATTGCTAAGTTTGAAAGTGATACTTCCTAAGCGAGCGAAGATATTAATAGCTCCGCAAAGTTGCTAAAGTTCAGACGTTTGTATGGTGGGGCCCACGCGAATTTCGGGAGCTCTATCTTCGTACGTTTTTTCAACAAATCACTTTCAAAGTTAGCAATTTTATTAATTTAAATGCATTCTTTTCAGCGGAGTTGAGGGATTTTTCCTAATAACACGTTCTAAAGTTAACTAAGATATTCTAAAGTGAAAAAATCGGCTGAAAATGGCCATTTTTGTTTATTTTTATCCGAAATTTCCATAAAATCCAGCTGATTTATTGCTTTTAATCGATATTTTTTACCGAGCGGGTCCCTGTCGGAAAGAAATCGTTTAATTTCGTGAAAAGTAGTCTTTTTTACTTTCGTACAAAAATTGCCTTCTTTTATTATTTTCAGAAGGGTCGCAGAAGGTTGGCAAGAAGTAGAACATGCAGTAACTTTTCAGCTGAATTACTTCGGCAGAAATATTAACTTGAGACACGTTTTTAGGCAGAGGACTATTTTTTACGTCCTAAAATTTACGTTGGTAATTCAAAATAGGCGAAAGGCTCAAGAACTATAAATCGAAGAAACCACCACTATGGTTCAGATGCTTCGGAAATTTCTGAAACAATTTTAACTGATGTATGGCGAAATGCTTCGGAAATTTCTGAAACAGTTTTAGTGTATTGCTAAACAAATGCTTCGGAAATTTCTGAAACAGTTTTTTAAGGCGAAGCAAATGCTTCGGAAATTTCTGAAACAGTTTTAATTTAATGTATGGCAAAGCAAATGCTTCGGAAATTTCTGAAACAGTTTTAATGTATGGCTAAAAAAAACATGCTTCGGAAATTTCTGAAACAGTTTTAATGAATGGCGAAACTGAATGCTTCGGAATTTTCTGAAACAGTTTGAATTTAAATTATGGCTTAAAATTAAAAGATGCTTCTTATCAAAAGTTTCTGAAACGGATGTTTCGGAAATTTCTGAAACCACTTTTTAATTAATGTATGGCTAAAATAATGCTTCGGAAATTTCTGAAGCTGTTTAAATGTATGGCTAAAAATGCTTCGGAAATTTCTAAAACCATTTTAAGGCATGGCTAAAATAATGCTTCGGAAATTTCTGATACATTTTTTACAGTTTGGTTGAAAAAAATTCTGGTACAGATTTGTTTTTCTTTTTTTTTTTTGCTGCCGAAACAATGTTTTGTCACTATAAGAACTCCTGTCCAGTGAATGTCAAAAGAAACGTATATTTAAAAAACGATAATTTTGCAACCACTGTCAGTCCTACATTGCTAGGGTAGAAAAAAAGTGACCTGAAATTAAACATTCTTGGCAAGACGTTCATAAGTTTCCTTCAAATATTTGTACGTTCCCAGTTGAAGTTTCCCTCCGCTATCAAATTTAAAATCCACTAGAAGTAAACAGGCTATTGGTAGCTTGTCTTCCCAAACATTTCCATCTCGCAGTAACCACGGCTGCCATTTTCTTCTCCAGCTGCCTTTCTAGTACTGAATCTTGAATTTATCGTCGTGGATTTCGAGTACTTTTCCAATCACTGGAGCTTTTGAGTAGTTTTCGATGCTCACAGCAACGTAAACACCCGTTTGAAGAGATTCCTCTAGGTTGTCATTGTCTACTTCAGCGACACGTGACAATAACTGGGCTCGACTTTGGTAACGCCCAGTGTACATCTACAAAAATCAGACAATTCTATCATTTTAGAGTTTTGGATAGAAATCATACGACATTATTAAAATTGCAAGTCTAACTACTGCAGTAGGTCTATAAATTTTGGAACTACCATTTTCGATATAACAGGAAAAGGTCGGTTGTTCTTTAAAACCCGGAGATACAGTCAACTCCCTTTATAGCGGACACTGTAGGGACCTTAAGTTAGTGTCCGCTGTAGCGAGAGTCCGTATTAGCGGGAGTTTATTTCAGTCAAATGTCTGTAATTTATTTTTGCCCGGAATTTATCTGTTGTCCGTATTATCGAGGTGTCCGTTATAGCGGGGTGTCCGCAAGGCAAGAGTTGACTGTAATCGGCCGAGGGAAATCACCATCCACGGAAAACACTATCATATTTTTGTATACCTGCGGTACTTCAGTGAGCTGCCCCACCACCATATCTTCAAGATCTTTAGGAGCAGCTGAGGGTCTTTGAGGTAAATCAGCAACTGTACTTCTTTCGTCATCCAAACCCTGTTGCTCTTGTGGCTCTTCCTCTCTAACCGCGGTCTGGCGTCGTTTGATTGCTTCAACTTCATCTAACAACCAGACATGAGGCTTCTCAGTGGCAGAAAACAGGCCCTCTTTGTCGGCGAGAAAGTCTTTCCACCATTTCTTTTCCGTAAACACCCTTGAACTGAAGTACTTCGGTATGTCTGATCTCAACTTTTCTAGATTGATTTTGTCTGAAGAAGGTGCGATAATGTCGGGAACATGCGCTGGCAAGTCATCCTGCAATATTTCCCATTATTGAAATTTTTATCACTGATCAGAATGTCAAAACATTTTATTCACCTAATTTATTTTTTATACATATGAAGCGGTTATTAGAAGGTCAAGAGAGCAGAACCGGATCACTACAGGAACTGAACTTGTCAAACCTCACTTCCTGCTAAAGTTGTCTCTGCCATTCGTGTTTAATTTAAATTATAATAAGTCTTCGCTATTAGTACATACTAATCGAATATGAAAAGCCCATACAGTTTCGACGCGAATAATTTCAGCCTGGTCCCAGGCTTGTTGATACTATTGTTTAATAACTCTTAAGCCAATTTGATTTGTATTGGGGTTACGGAGGTGTACGCGTGACTCAAATAAACCTATTGATTGGCCATTTTGAAAAAAAAATGATTTTAAAACGAATTTCTTAATTCTTAACACAATCACACCTGCAAAATTGTGATGCAGTCATCAGGATTCCGGCTTGGTTTCCACTCCTTGTCCCTCGACCAATTTTTGTACCTTAGTACAACATCCCCTTTCGAGTTATCCTCCAAAACGAAACTGTGAGGGTTACTGATATTGTGAATGTCAATCCTTGCAGGCGCTATCCAAGTACGAATATCAAACATGACAGTCAATACCTCGACAAAAGGTGTTGGGTTGTAAGCGTTCCTGATTGCGTTGATTAGGTCTAAATAAATGATACAAATAGAATCATTATTATTTATATTACTATTAACATTATTTTAGGTTTTTGGACAGACACTTTCTCAAAGTCCTGATAGGGAGGCCAAAAATAGAATTTGGCCTTGTATGAGGCTATGTGGACCTCACACTAGCCTGCGAACCGCAGACGCATTTCCGGTCGTCGCTTCTCTCCCTCCTCTTTCGGAGGGAGAGAAGCGACGACCGGAAATGCGTCTGCGGCTCGCAGGCTAACCTCACACATGGTGAATAACGCATATACATTACCATCAAGAGTGAGAATAGATTCCCTAATTCTACTAAAAAATTGTTCCACGTCCTCGTGGGTGTGTCCGACCACGAGAAAGTCTATTTTCACCTGCGAAAAAGTAAAAAAGGAGCCATTTACCCGCCAAAAAATAGGAAAGAAGAAATGCTTGCTACTTTGAAATTACCGAAAAAATGGCTATGACAACACCCCCTCATATCTCAGTGCCAAGATGGCGTCCAAGTTTAAAGATGTTACCAGTGAGTGATGTCGGGGAATTTAATGTCGCTGTAGATAACATAAATTAACGAAAGAAAAAAAAATTAACAGCAAGAACAGCAAGAAGGATTCTAAAAAGGTGTTTTGACGAAAAATGCAGAAAATTATTAGCAACTCATGCTTTAAACTTTTCAGTGCGTGGCCTGAGTTCTCTAAACGAACCAATGGCTCCTGACAATAAACAATTTAAAACTTATGACTCAGTGAGCGCTATGTGAGTGACATCATATATTAGGTAATCAAAAGGCATATTCATGAAAATAAATAAATTTCAATTGCCTTTGTCGAAATTCCTTTAATTTCGCTCGCCAAAATTATTTCCTAGTTTCACTCGTCATCATTTAATTACACATACAACTAAGGCTTTGTGGACTACCAACAACACAATGCATCAATATTTAACCCGTAAGGCATCCGGCAGCTATAATGAATTTTTAAATATATTGCTTAATGCCTAATAATCCGCCTTGGATGTTGATTACCCTCTTACCTTTCTGATAATAAACTTTGAATAAACTTTGACGTTTCGTTTGTTCTTATTCTCTTGTTCTAGTTCCTTTCCAGGGCTTGCCTGACCATAGAAGCACCACGCGAGAGAGTCCTTTGATTAAATAACCCCTTCTCACAGCTTATATTTTTGGCTGCACCTTTATTTGCCAGCACAACGCTCACTTTCTTGTCAAAAAATTGACTTACAGATGCTCCCTGAAAACGAAGCTGTTTTCTTATGTCATGTTGTCGTGATTCCGGAATGTTAGAATCAAAGTAGAGGAACACTGTTTCACCGCTGAATATATTCTCAGTTATAAGGCTTTCTGAAGAGGTAGCGTCGTCTGTAAACAACAAAACACCTCCAATGAATACTTCACCACATTTAGCTGACTGAATCAATGCTAACTTATCGATCAATTTTCTCCAAACTATCATTTAATCTTACATGTACTTCGATTTCAAAAGTTATTATTATAACAGTATGACTCGGGGTGCATCTGGCATTTTTTGCTGACCCCGAAAGTTAGTAAACATGGCGAAGATTCTACTCTTAATAGCTAATAAAAACATGTAAAAAAAAACTGACAATAATAGATAGCATACTTACTCGTAGCGTCTGTGGTCATAGAAAGTTCATCTTCAAACTGAGGATTCAAGTCACGTTGGTCTTCACTTAGCTCTTCCAAGGGCTGGCATTCGAGATCAGTTTGACGTCTCTTGTGATAGCTTGAGAGTGAAGCTACACAGGGAAAATCTCCACTTTCTGAAGCGGCGCTTTCACTTCTTGCTAGGGGTTAAAAGTGTAACATGCAAAAACGGTAATGATTAAATCAGTACACTGACTGCAAAGTGTAAGAGTTTAAGGGAGTAAAAAAAGGCAAAGATTCTCAAACTTTAGCTAATATAAGACACTTACTCATATCGTCAATGGTTATAGACGAATGCACATTTTTACTCTGAGGATTCACTTCGCTTCGGCCTCCACTTTGCTGTTCCAAGGGATGGCATTCGAGATCAGTTTGCGGTCTGCTAAGATAACTTGAGGTTGATCGTCTACCCGGCGACAACTCCCCACATTCTGAGTCGCTCTCACTGTCTGGAACGCATACAGAGCTAGACGAAGCAGGGCTAATAACAATCTTTGAAGGAGGCTTTTCCATAAATTTTCTTTTCAACGGGGGAGAAAAATAGCTTCCCGTGTCGGGCTCATCGAATTCGCTTGAAAAGTGTGACACCGGGAGAAGAAGGGTCAGGCTCATCTAGCTCGCTAGTTCTCAGTAGATCCATCGCATTGGATCTTGAATCAATTTGCTTTGAGCCTCTATTGAATAACGTTAGCGAAGTATCCACTAAGCACCGGGGCAGATCAATAACTGAATCAATAATCTAATCAAGATAACTGGAGGAAAAAGAACATCCAGATATCGGTGCATTTGAATTCATTTAACGGAAAGACTTCGGGGCCAACACCTAGAGGCGGCAGAGATGTTTGCGGTTGTTATCTAGCAGCGGAAACACCTTGGGACCAACACCCAGAGGCCGACACCACAAATGTCAAGTTTTAAAAAACAAAATTCTTTCTTTTTCGCGCTGGGGTTTTCTTTGAGACCGCCGACGTGAGTAATCGGAAGTATACCTCAACTCATCGTATATATTAACGGTACTTTCTCTGCAGACGCTGTGAAAAGAAGCTCGTCGAAACGCGTTAAAGTCATCGTTGAAAAGATATTCCAAAACTGATTGAAAATGGCAAGAAAAAGCAATAATAGCAGCAGTTCTAGACCAGATCCCGGAAAGTGGTGGATTGAACGTGAAAATGACGATTTGCGTATTCGCAAAAAAAGCGGACCCTTAAAAGTAAGAAACAAAGAGATGGCGAATGTTACAGATATCATCGAAGGCTCCGACAGTTCGACCATTAAGGTAAGTATGAAGAGGGTAGAAACCAAAACCACATGTGATGGCAAGAATATATGTCACTCTAACTTTTTTAAATTCTGTACCGTTACCTATCAGTCGGGTGAAACCCTTTGCGGAAATTTCTTGGATCTTTCGAAAAGAAATTTTCATTTTAACTTCTTCGTTTCTTTCTTTGCTTAGTGCCGGCCACGAATCCGGTTTTTGATTTTGTAGTAAGAAGTAATAATATGTCTGTATTTTCATTGAAAACCGGAATGAAATTGTTATACCAATTTTTCCTTGCGATAATTATCTTTTAGGTTGTTTTCGCAAACCATTAGAGACCAGTCAAGCTTCAGTTAGCACTTTTCGATTTCAGTAAAAATGACTTCTGTGCGAGGTTTAAAAATTTTACAGTGTTCAGTGCAAAATTTCAGGGGAACCAGGTCTCTGTAAAATTGGGTGACAGTGACATCTCCGCCTTCCTAATCTGCAGTGACGTTACTACTTTAACGCATACTTCTTTGAGCCAAACTGTTAAGAATTTTCCAGGCTCATCGCTTATATTTCCCAACTTGCCAAAGGTTAGTAGCTTTTTAAAAAATAAGTCTTAACAAGTGTCAGCCTGAAGTGAAAACAGGAAGCTAAGAGCATCCGGTCAACTGCGTATCTCTAATAACTATAGACACCTCCTACATTCATGATTTGTTAGCAGATGTCCGCATGCTACACTGTAGCTAACTCAAAACGGCAAGGAGTTCCTCTCATAGTAGAATACAGTCAGAGAATTGCTCGTTCTTTGTATTATGCATAATACTGGCACTTGAAAATCGGGGGAAAAAAGGATGATTTAGCAGATCATGTGTTGAAATTAATAAAATTTGATTTTATTAATTGATAGCACTGGGAAAAAAGTTCGATTGAAAAAGCCTTTAGAAACATCAAGGCCATCACCACCAGGTACTACAGCACTGGCTATTTCCGTATCGTGGTATTTCCGCATGACCCCAACCCATTTGGCCAGCTTTCTTTGGCAGTTGAAATAGCGAAGGCATTCGGGATGACTGTGAAGTCGCGTACTACCATGATACAAATAAAAGGTGGAAGGGTAATTATATTTTCATTAGTCGATCTTAGTTGTGTAGAGGTTTAGTAACTACAGGTAAATCGACGAAAAGAACAGCAATTTACAGTTGATTGTCACCCTTGAAGAATTCACAACGCTATGAAAATTCAATTGCGTTACAAAACATGTGTTTGATCTCAGACAATTCAGATCTCAAACAATTCAATTTCCCCCCAGTTATTTTCGTTTCTAATGTTACAGAAACAATTATTTGCACTGACTCGAACCCAGGGGAACCCAAAAAAGCGCCCATGCCTGGGATTCTCTAAAGCATTCGAAGACATAACTTGTGTGTGATTTTTTTTTCCAGTATCAGAGGATCAGTACTCAATCATTTTAATTTTAATTGTGTTTTAGAGGGAAGCGTCTTGACAAAAACATTACTACCATTTTGCGTGTTCAGCTCCACTGTGGACACAACCACGAGAGTCAAGAGGGGAGATTTGTTTTCATACAGCTTGAAAACATCCTCTAAAGGAGAAGCGACATCATGCAAACCCCGGGAGTTATATGGAGACTTAATAGAGTTCTATGGTGCAGAAGGAGGATGGGTCATGGATTTCTGCAGTGGATCTGGTGAGCTATTCGGCATATTCTTTCCTGTAAACATTTTTTTTTCTAAATTCAGCTTTCAGCATCCTCGACCAATCAGTTTCTGTTATAAGTTATTTGTAACAATTGCTGCCAAAAAACCCAACAATCTCGTCACCCGTTTTTACTGTCAATAAATTTAAATAAGAAGAATGTCATGATACGATTGTTATTTGTAAACAGAAATCGAAATTGGTTTCTTTTAGCATTAGACTGCTACCAGTCCCTCAGGATTGTGACGCTGGCGAGAACCCCCAAACACGCGAGGGGGAAGATGTTTACGCACAAAA